AACTTGGAGAAAGATAAATGAGTCGAAAATTATATCGACGGGAAAGTTGATATCTAGGCAAATAGATCGATTTATAGATATTGTGTTAGACACAAGCAGATTCATAAGCCAGATGCAGTGATTGGGCAAAGAATAGATTAACATGGCGTTTCATAGATTTCTAGACGTATTCGTAAATTATTAGACATGTAAATAACTAAGTATGCCGATAAATGAGTAGGAAGAATAGTTATGCAGGTGGACTGAAAGATTGATATCGATAACTGTAGGTAAATTGTTAGACAGGTTTGTATCTTCCTATAGATCTATTGATCCATAGGTTGAAGCGTAGGTCGATAGTCGATATCTAGACAAGTCGATTAGTCGGTTAATACTGTAGATAAATAGGTATGAGATTGGTAAGAGGATAAGATAATGAATGGACAGAGACTATTAGAATAAGATGTTGTGGAGAGTTATCTTGGCTGATCGGTGATAGGCAGTTAGGCATGGAAAGTGACAAAAACTAGAAGCATTTCATTATAGTTTGCTGTGGAATAAATACCAGTGATGGTTCCCAGCTCTCTGGTGCACCTTATAATAGCCTAGCTTGGTTAGGTTAGGTTCTTGTATAATTCGTAAATATCCTCGTACTTTGCTACTTTGACGGCATGTTGATTAGGTTCCATGCATCTTTGTTATTTTTAAATGGGCATTATTAAAATGATTCGCAGATTAGAGAATTTATTTAATGTTGTTGTATACCTTACTGGGTATATATTTTGTAAGAGCTGTCTTGCACAATTTTTTGCAGCAGGGCATGCTAGAGGCGTTTGTCGCCTGGACGATTTCTCTTCTCTGCGCCTGCTTCGCGCCATATCATTAAGGGTATATCGGAGTTGTTTGCCTTAAAATCTTAAATGTATTTCAAAATTCGAATTTTATCTATCCTTATGAATTGTTTTTATATTGTTCCTTCTTTAAGATGGTGCAAATTACCGACAACGGCAGAACTAGTGACGGGCAAGAAGATCATTCGGCAGCCCGTTCTGGCAAACGATCTCATCGTTCTGCCGCAGGATTTCAGTACTCTGATCAATCAGGCTTCACAGCGCTGGTATTCTTCTTGTTTTGTATTTCTATGTCTGTGTAATATCATATGAGGTATTTAATAATTTGTTGCAATCGGTCCGTACACTGTTTTGCTCTCTTAGACCACTTTTCTCTTTTATCCGGTAACCCAAGCCATATTTCCCGGTACACCATTTCCCTTAAAGAAATTTACCTCAGATCATTCTGCCTCTTTTACCTGAGGGTAAACATTAATTTGGTTATACTGATATGATGATGTTTTTCGTGAGGTTAATGTATAAAAATCAAGAATGTTTCCTGCGTTAGTGCCATTATTGACCGGGAAACGTTGTTCTGCAACTTGAATCTTCTCCCTGAAATTAAGTGAATCGTGATATTTGAATACGTGGTCTTTGAATGCCACTCGCAGACGATCTTCAGTCTGAGTTGAGCGAATAAAGTTTAGCATTTCCAAATTTCAGTATATTCTTTTATTTGTCCCATTAGAAAGGTTGTGGTTTTCACTATGTTGTTTATTAATAATTATTGAGTACACGAACTATGAAGATTTATTATAAACGACACTGTATTATCTACATGTCACTTATTTATTTTCTTCAACAAAAGACAGATCGATATTGTACGATTGACCCGAAACATCACAGATAAAAAATGAAAAGTTTAATTTTAAAAATTTAGCTGTCTGACACTACCCATAAAAGAGCCTCGATATCCTGCGTTGTGCCTCGTCTGCGGAGAAATGGTATGTTCGCGCAGTTACTGTTGCCAACGGTCGCTTAATGATCACATGGTCGGCGGGTGCACTTACCACGCTAATCACTGCTCAGGTGGAACGGGCATCTTCCTCAGGTACGCAATTGGTTTACGTCGCCTCGCTATGCCAGAAAACTGTTCACTTATAAGACGTGAGATGTGAGTTCGGCGAAACGTAGTTCAAAAACCGCAAACGCCCTGACAAAAATTGTAACATAACGACGTAATTGTCATCGTGAATGCATTTGCTGCTGCCTCTTTCTTTGGTAATGGCTAGTTTTTATGTTTTACTACTGACGTGAGATGTTCGAAGTAAGAATGTTTCACTGCAATAAGTTGGCCTGTGAGTAGGGAAGTATTTAAATAAATGAATGGTCATTAAGTTGACAAGTGAATATATGAGTGAGGGAGAAAGTAAGCTATTCAGCAAGTAAATACCTAAGTGAATAGCTAAATGATTTTCATTTTGATGGGCAATACGTTTTGGCCAGCTCGACTAGACATCGAATAAAATAAACAACAACAAAAAGCTATACTATGTATATTAATAGAACAAGTTGTTTGAAGTTCTTGCCATTTCTCTTGTGACGAGAAGTTTTAGCTAATCTATTATCTTGTGATTCCTTATTGCAGTCAGGGTCTATTACAGATTTTTAGCCATAGAATCTGGTAATAGTCTTCCAACAGTTGAAATTGCTCTCTAGAAATTACTATTCTGACAAATTAATAGTACTATTTTCTGAGAACGTACTCGCATGAACTTCAACAACAGGATGCGAACCGTGCTACTATAATATTATGTTATGACTGTAACGCTATTACGTTGTTTTAGTTATAACATAACAGCAACGCTAATATTGCTATACAATAGTATTTTGTTGCCATAACATCGCTTATGATAGTATTATAATACGAATTGTCGTAACTTTTACCGTAATATTTTGCCGTCATGACGTTCTAGTAGCCATACTATTATTACACTGTAATAAATAATATTTTTAGCTATTACAATAATCTAGTTGCAGTGGTAATAGCGTATTCTTATTAATGTTGTCGCATAGTGCCGTTGCTGCAAGCGAACCAGCGGCGTCAGGAAAATATTTTATACGGTAGTGAACATCAGCTGCTGAACTGCTGTCGTAGCATCAACACAAAAAATGCCAAAGTAGAGCACAGTTTATTTTAAAGAGTAGAAAAATTAAGATTATCACAAAAATAGTGTACCACAAACCGAGTCGACTTGAATCGGAGTTTGTCAGTGAGTTATACTAAAAAATTGTCAGAATCATACAGCATTTGTTTTTATCATTGAGCATTTTCATCGTTGATTTAAGATCTGGGATATATTATAAGCATTTTCCCCTCATATTCGCCTTGATACCATTGGTCCGTCGACTGTTTTTTCCTTGTAATTATTGTTTTCCAGTTATATCTGTTTCAGCATCCGCGATTGCCAAATCGTCTTGCTTTACCAGTTGTACCGGGGGTGCTTTTTACCCGCACCGTATGTGGACGAGTACGGAGAAACGGACCAAGGCTTTAGACGGGGCAAGCCGCTGCTCCTGAGCGCCCAACTGTACCAAAAGTTGCGATGGCTGTGGTTGAACCATTCGGTCCCTGAGCAGATTGTCAATCGCATGGAGCTGTCCGACCAATTGCTTGCTCAGGAGTGGTTCCATTTTTAAAGGAACAACGAGAATGAAGAACCGATCCATATGTATCCTTGCTTGTTTTTTAGACGCAGCCCTTGATGCCGATCGGTCGAGTCGAGCTTGAAGCTGACCTGATCACTGGGATGAATGACCGCTTTTGTCATTCACTTTCGAGGTGCTGTACATATGACGGTGAAAAGTTTCATTTGATAAGTACTCCCTTTTATGGGTATCAACTTTATTGTTTGCTCTCGTCGTTGTTTCTCTTCTTTATAATGTATATATCACCTGCTGCTCTGTACTCCGCCGTATTGGTTTCAACCTTTAAATGGCGAAGTATTTCAATCTGCGAAATTGCTTAACTCTCAGACAGTATGATGATATCCACTAAAGTGGACAACATTAAGGTCAACTTTAAGTTGATCATGTGATCACTGCATTGTCAAAACTACTCTTCATCTTCTTCATCTTCCATCGCCGCTTCTCCTTTCGGGTCGCGGAGGCAGACGCGTCAGACAGTGC